TATTTCCAGCTGCTATTCTGACTTACTTAGGATTCTCAGCTCTCTGCTGTAGATTGCTGGCAATTCCCACCTTTGGAAGGGTTGAGCATCCTAGACTGCTTGTGTTTGCTCCTATGGGTGCTCTTGTGAAGATCAGATGCTCTGGATGCACTCTCCCAAATACTGGAGTCTGGTATGGGCTCCTGATGTGTTTTTGTTTGTTTGTTTTGGGCTGGTTGTGGGCTTGAACTCTAGGTTTGGGTGCTGTCCCTCAGCTCTTCAGCTCAAGGCTAGCACCCTACCATTTGATCCATAGCACCACTTCTGACCCTTTTTGCTTTTGTGATGCTGAGGAATCAGATCCAGGGCCTCATACATCCAAGACTATCACTCTATTGCTGAGCCACCTTAACAGCCTGAGCTCCTGCTTACTATCAGATGCTGGCAGCCTGTGTTGCCCAATTCCCAGCCTAGGGTATATGGGTGGAGTTTTGGTGGGATTTGGGCTTCTCTTGTCCTGGGCCTCCAGGTCTTTTGTTGTCACAGGCGTGCTTCCCAGGGAGTATTGTTTCCTGATTTTCTCCCCTCTGTTGAGGTGTATGCTCAGCTTTTTACTTCAGTTGGGAGGAGTTGGTTGTGTTGTTCAGGCGCCGGATCCCCGGGCCTGGTTCCGGCCCCAGCCTGGAGCGCGCTCATTAGGCCTGTGCTGATGTGTATACCACCTAGGTTATACAGCCTGGAGCGCGCCCGTTAGGCCTGTGCTGATGTGTATACCACCTAGGTTATGCAGCCTGGGGGACACAGTTCAAATTTCTTCTACTGTTGGTAGTCTTGACCCAGGGGTGCTGTTCCTGGCTTGGGCATTTAGGCTCCCTTCCAGGGGTACTCTTGCTCTGGTCTGGCCAGGAGAGTGTGCTCCACCGTCTGGTGGAGCTCTCGAACAGTTCCCAGTTTTAGTGGGTCCTGAGGTCCGGGTGTTGGGGTAGGGAGTCTAGGTCAGGGTCTGGGGATTCCCTCCAGCTCTTGTCTCCCTTGAGGGATACACTGTCCCCTGTGGGGTACTCACCCTGGAGCTGGTTGTTTCTGTGTGGTGCAGGTCATCAGTTGTTGTTGCAATCTGAGTTCAGTTGGGGTGGTTGCGGGCTGGGTTGGGCAGTGGTGGCTCTGTGTGATTCTTTTCTGTCTCTGCCTCCGTCAAAGCTGTTGGTTCAAAAGTGTCCACGCTCAGGCGGCTTCTTCGCGGGTTGTAGAGATCCGGTGGGTCTGACTCTGGTGCCTCAGGCGACTTCTGCGCGGGTGATCTGCATGCAGCCCCCTGTGCCTCTGGGACCCGGGCGGCCCCCGCCGGGTCGTTGCGATTGTGATCGGGTGGGTGGTCTGCCGACAGGTTCCTTTGTCGCGCTGCTGGTGCCGGGCGGCTTTGGCGGGATGGAGCCTCTCTGCTCCGGTGGAGAGTGAGGGGTGGGGGTGGGATCCTCGTGGAGACTCCCGGCTGGTACGTTTCTCTGTTCCTGGTGATCCACTGTTCTGCAAACCAGTACCTGGTGATCTGCAAGCGGCCCCCTGTGACTCTGGGGCTCCGGCAGCCCCCGCCGGGCCGGCTGGCCGGTGGTTTGGCGCACTGCCGCGTGGCCTGTAAAGGTTGGGGGAGGGGTCTTCGCTTTTCTCTGTTCTGAAATTCTTCTTTTCCTCTTTTTCTTTTTTTGTTATTTTCTGCCTCTGGTTTTTCTCTGAGTGTTCATCTTTTTGTTGTTGTCGGTCTCTTGGGGAGATTAAGCGTTGGAACTCGAACTCTCTTTTTGGTTGGAGAGAGCTGTGGCGTTTCTCTACTGCCCCGTCGCCATCTTGGTCCCCCCTCACAAAGGAGCCTTTTAGCAAATGGGAATGTATCCTCTGGAGTCAGACCTCAAAAAAGGCAACCTTGTTGGGCCTGTTACTAGCTGTACGATCTAGGACAAATAGTATTCCTGGCTGTCAGTATCATAAAAATGATTATAGTAGTCCTCTAACACTGAGTCCTTAAAGGTTAAATGAGACATATCATGGAAATTGCTACCTTGATTTTATCCGTCATGTCTGCAAAGCATCTCAAAGTATTACCAATCAGATTGTCACAGTCTTTTTGCTTACCAGATAGGAACCAGGGGAGATTAACAGAGCATGCTAAGATCCTAGGAACTTCACTGGTAAGCCTAAACTTACAGCTCAAATCCCTGAGAGGTAGGAGGCCTACTGTTCTGGCTTTAGAAACCAGAGATTAATGCGTCTAAGAACTTAGTTTGGAGGTTTATCACTCTAGCCTTCAATTATGATGACCTTGGCACTTGGTGCTATGATAAATTCTTAGCTTCCAGCAGCAGTGAAGAGCAGTATGGACAGCAGCAACAGCAGGGCATTCACGAGTGTTAGAGCTCCTACACAGTCTTCAGTTGCTTCCATTGCCAGCTATATAGCAGCACATGCTACAGGTGTCAGGCCCAGAATATCTAAACACTTAGACCTTGACAGTGGCTAGTGTTAGATCTCTAGATTTCTTTCTTGGTGTGGCTTCCCTGGAGCTCTTCCAGTACCCAGGGCCAACTTTGTCTTCCCTGGTTCTTTACAGCCTTCTTTCTTTCGCCTCAGCTCTTTGCTCTCTTTGGCTTTCTCTGCTTCCACCATCTTTGCTTGTCTCTGCCATCTCTGCTTCCTTTTGTTTCTGCCCAAGTTACTCTCTGGAATTCTTCAGCTGCCTTCTCAACTGCTTCTTGTCATAGTTGTGGCTAAATTCCACCAGGATGGAGTTGCTTCACTTTTCACTATCTTCTCCTCCTATTGCCCTGCTCAGCCTTCTCTACTACTGATAAAGATCAAAAGTAGGCACAAAATTCCATTCAGGAGAAGCAACCTGCTGGGCCTGATGATGGAATATCACAGTGCAACATGCTAACCCAAGTTGTCTGCATCAATCACAGAAGACCATGAAAATAGACTGTTCTTTCCACCAATCACTGACCTTCTAGTGGATCACCAGAGAAAGTCCTTCCCTCCCCTCCAGTGAGAATAGGTTCAGGGTTAGTAGCACTATCCAGAGTTCACTGAGGCTTCTGATAGCTAAAAATTCCAACATCAGCTAATTGAAATATTCACAACTGGAATAGAGTGCTTCTGGAGCTGAAGATATGGCTGTAATAGCCAGCAGCTGCATACAGAGTCTAATGAATTTTAATGTCTAATAAGTTACTATGTCTAAACTTTATTTCCACTGACAGTCATAAGTGTAATTTGATATATACAGGAAAGATGTTATTATCCAAATTTTTCCAAAATGTGGTAATGCAGTAGTTATCATGACTAAATACAAGTTTAGATGATTGTGTGCATGCACTTCTGTCTCCACTGGGGAGCTTTCCAAAAGTGTTAAAATGAGCAAGGGTATTTCATTGTTTCCTCATTTTCTTCATCTAGGTTTCCAGTCCAGTCTGGATAAGGTGATAGAGAATCTTGTGGCAGATAATTTGGGCAAAGTCAAGCATACACAATGCATTCTGTACATGAGATTTGACACAGTAATGAAATTGGCTCCTTGGCTGTTGGTTGGGAAAACGTCTCACTCAATCATTTCAAACCAAAGTCAATGTATGTATAATATCCAATCTGTCCTAATCACACTTCTCAATAATGATGTTGCCTCCTGTATTAGGAAAGAGCTGATACAATTATAATGTTGTTTTCAATCATTTAATTAGTTTTGGAATCTAGAAATCCAGAAGCAAGAGAGCAGCAGAACCATTTTGCCTCTGAAGTCTAGAGAGGGGAATCTTTCTTCCCTCTTCCCACTTCTGGTGCCTCCTTTGCTGCATCATTCACTTGTATCCCCTCTAAATACCTGGCTCTTAAGATTCACAAGATAACCAAAACAATTTTACATTGAGCTCCTTAAGGATTATTGTAGATGCAGACCCTTCTTTTAAAATACAATTTTAAGCTGGGTGCCAGTGGTTCATGTCTATCGTCCTAGCTACTCAGGAAGCTGAGAGCTAAAGATCAAAGTTCGAAACCAGTCCAGGCAGAAATCCCCTTAAGACTCTTATCTCCAACTAACCACTCAAAAACTAGATGTGGAGCTGTGGTTCGAGCACAAAAAAAGCTCACGGACAGCTCCAGGCCCTGAGTTCAAGCACCACAACTGACCCATATATGTATATGTATATGTATATATATATATATATATATATATTCACACACATATATTTTAATGTCATTAGTAAGGTGTCATACAGATAGGGTACCATTTCACAATTCAGGCAATCTGTGTGTTTCTCTTTTGGACAATGTCACTCCTTCCTTTACTTTTCCCAGTTTTATGCAGACCCTTTTTTCTAAACAAGAACATTTGCACAAGTGTGTCTTATTGAGGGGCTATCATTTAACCTGCTATACCTCCTACCTTCTCTCTTTGCCTTTGCTCTAACCTCTCTATGATCTATTTTCCACAAAGCAGTCTGAGCAAACTTTAACTTTTAACTTAAATTATATTCTTCTCCTGCTTAAAAAATGTAGTTCATTCCATCTCACCTTGAAATGCTTCTGAACTTCTTTTTTTATTCTTTATTCTCTATTTAAAAAATTTATTGGAAAACTGATGTACAAAGGGGTTACGGTTACATAAGTAAGATAATGAACATATTTCTTGTCAAACCAGATTCCACCTACCTTTAGAACTTACTTCTTCTCTTGCACGTTCTTATCCACAATCCTGGTTTTCTAGTTAAAAACAAAATGGTCACTTTTGTTGACAGGCTTTGTGTGTGTGTGAGCTATCAGTGTTTGAACTAAAGGGCTTATATTTCCTCGGCTTGATTGGCTGGAACGCTATCACTTGAACTATGCCTCTAGCCTGCCTAGAGGCAGGTTATTTTAGAACTAGAGTCTCATAGACTTTTCTGCCAAGGCTGGTTACAAACCAGATATCATCCTCTAAGGATTACAGGCATGTCATCCAGTGCTCAGTTTTAATTGATTTTTATTCATGATTCTAGAATTAGACAACTACTTATTCTATAAAGCAGAATAAATTTTATGATAGAGTAAACATTGAAGTTGGTCTTATAGATACAGAATGACTAATGAAAGCAAAAACAAAAAAAGCAGATTTGTCATTTCTTTTTATAAAAAATACGTTTTTTATTGTAAAAATACTGTACAGAGTGGTTATAGTTACATGAGCAAGGTAATGAATACATTTCCTATCCAGTATTGTTACCTCTTCGTTTTTTCCCTACCCTTCTTTCCCTCCCACCTCCACAACTACACTCCCCCCGCCCGCCTAAATTGTGAAATTCCTTTTTCAACATAGTGTCTTGTACCTCTCATTGTTACAATGGGTCAACCTGTATTCCTATTTAAGCATTTTGTTTTTTCCCTTCTCCTCCCCAAGCTAGAGAAGTGTATATACAAGATGCAGGGGACCGACATCAAATACAGTGAAAACAGGGATTATACCATGGGGGAGGAACATACAAAGAAACAAAAAAAAATCACATGGTGCATTATAAATACATTAGGAACAATAGCAAGAAAGAAAAAAACCACTTGTGTACCTACCTTGGGGTTCATTTCGCTTAACATCATCTTATCTGGTCATATGTACATAGCTTTTGACCTTTTCTGCTTGTCCCAGACATCATAGTTACTTTTCTGATAAGGTAGGAAGATGAATATAGAGCAGTTAACAAAAAGGAACTGATTTACTAACACCAGTTTATTCACATTGCTTTTTGTAAAGATGAAAGTAGAGGCAGTTTCTTTATGATGTCATTGGAACTGAGCTGTTTCAGAAAGCTAGAAAATACTTACTCCTCTGCCTCCTCCAAAGGTCAGAGGACAATTCATTTTCAGTTTAATGAACTGGAACTTTAGTATTAGGACTTCCATGTTGACATTCAGTATGGTATGCTTGTGTGATGTGCAAATCTTGGTCCACAACAATGCTTTCATGCAACACTTTAATTGGTGTATATTACTTGCATGTAGTAAATGACATTTTCCCTGCATGCATGCATATACTATCACTTGATTATGTATACTCCTCCTTGCTCTCTTCTATCCCTTCTTTCTCTCTTTTCCTTGCACCTGTATATTACCTCTTCTGCAATGTTACTTGACATTCTTCCTGTCTTCCTATGACAAGCTCAGGACTCTCAGATTAACTCACCTTTACCTGAAATATCTCACCTGTTACCCTATACAATTTTGACTCAATTTCTTGATTTCTTTCTGTCCAATGTTGCATTATCAGACTAGATGATTAACCACCACACCTAAGGTCAGTCCCAAGTCATTCTTCACACTTTTGGTGATGTGAAATTAGTTGCATCCTCACCCAATAATATTTCAAGGAATACTCTCTCTTTTATTCCCAATAGATTCTCTGAAGAGTTAAAAATCATGCCTAATATACAGTGTGTGTCTAATATATATGTGGCTGATGAATTCACAGAACAATTCTTCAACAAAAACATTTGAACAAATTACAAATCTTCTGTCATTTACATTTAGAACTAATTTAGTTCTAAACTAGTAACATTTAGTGTAATAGTGAGTAGAACTGGAAGTTTGTAGATTTTACCTGTTGCGATTGGGGAAGTTTTGTTATTAGTTTATCGAATAGGTTTGCAATGTCTTTAGTATTGAATTCTTCCCCCTCATCCATCCCAAGTATGCATAAATTTGATCTTTTGATTGAGTCTGTAAGTACTTGGATTTCCCTTTACTATGTTCTCATTGTTCATTCCATGACTTCGCTTTTTTGTTCTATTCCTGTTTTTAGCCTCAACTCCTGATACTCTATTTTCAGTTTCATTAATTCTATTGTTTAGGCTTTCCACTGTGATTTGAAATAGAGAAATTGAACTTTTAGCTTCCAAATTCTTTTTTGAGGTCAGTTCTCATGATCTTAATTTCATCTTTTAATGAAATGTGTTTTTCTCTCCATATCTTTTGGGGAAACCTATGTATTCTTTCTCATTTCCTCCTTGCATTCTTCTATTTGTTTTTGGCTATCCCCTTTTATTTTGACAGACAGTTTTGTTACCATTTCTTTGATGGTTCTTTTGTCTTCCATTTCTTCTTCATTCTCCTTTAGATCCTTCCCTGGATTGTTGTCGGCTTTTGGGTTTGGTTTGTTGTCTTGATTGTTCATGAATCTTATAATCTTCAGTTGTGATTTATGCATTTGAGCTCAGGGCTTGTCAAGGTCATTCAGGTTTTGGTGAAGTGTGGTGGTGGAGTGTGGCTCACTGGATAGATCTCTGTTGGTCTTTGCATCTGGCAATCTTAACTCTGGGTGGTGCAGACAGTGTAATGGGCCTGGGTCAGTTGTTAGGGCTCTGTGGTGAGCGGGCTTTCTGGTGTTCTGGTCTAGATTTAGATTATGTGGCACACAGCAGTCTTGGCCTTGTTCTGTGACTACGGTGGGGCCAATTCTACTAGTAATAAGGAGGATCTCATTCTGGCATGAGCCCTGGACTAGCATCTATTTCCAGAGGGGCCAGGAGCAGCGTTCCAGCGCCTGGGTCTCATTTGAGCCCTGGGATGGGGGCACAGAGTCCCACCATGCTTTAAGGGGAGGCCGACCCCGCCCAAGTGTGTGGGCCTCGGAGGCAATGGGCTCCCACAAGATGGCGTGGGAGATTGTCCCCACTGGAATCCCGGATTGGAACCTTCTTGGTCAGGACTAGCATCTACTTCCCCCGAGGTGAGGGGCTGTGGCCCCGGACTGGCGCACTCTTGGTCCTGGGCTGGCTCATGTTCAGTGGATTGGTGCGCGCCTGGCCCCTGGTTGGGGTGGGGTAGAGGGGGGATCTGGGCTGAGACCTCCGGGTAGAGCTCTATCAGGTGCGTGGACATTGTCCCTGCTGTCTCTTAGCAGATCAGGGTTTTCCACAGCTAGGAGGATCCAGAGTGCTACTGCCCAACCAGTGTTGGTCCCAGTGACCTTCTTCCTGAAGCAGGGGTGTAGATGAGAAAGGGTTCTGGCCTCTTTCCCTTCTTCAAGTATGGTGTTCCTTCTCAACTGAGAGGAGGGGTCTGGGCTCTCGGTCAGCACCAGCGCTGATCTCCCGTGGGAAGTGTGTCCCTGGCAGGGCACACACAGTTCCTGGCGTTGGTCTGGACTGAATGGCAGCGCTGTGAAAGCTTTCTGCATCGGGATGCTGCAGCCTCTCTGGTTGGGTCCTCGGCAGGCACGGACCACTCTCGAGGCTTAGCCGTGCTGCAGGTGCAGGATGGGGGTTGGGGGGAAAGGCACTTGGAAGTTTCCATCCTTGTGTGTGAAGTTCTTTGCTCTTGTAATTTTCTGTCTGTTTACATTTTTCTGGTTGTCATTCTCTTAGGGTGAAGTGCATGCTAGGACCCTAAATCTTGGCTTGATTAGAGAAAGCTAGGGCAATCTCCTATTGCTTCACGATTACCTTCCCAGTTACATCCCTAAGAAATGTGGTACTTCCACATACACTGAAAATATTCACCAACAATCACACTTGAGCTGCCTAACTTGTGAACTCACGCTGGAAGCAAACCAAAACCACTATAAATAATTTTTTTTGGGGGGTCCAGTCATGGGGCTTGAACTCTGGGCCTGGGCGCTGTCCCTCAGCTCTTCAGCTCAAGGCTAGCGCTCTACCACTTGAACCACAGCGCCACTTGCGGCTTTTTCTGCTTATGTGGTGCTGAGGAATCGAACCCAGGGCCTCATGCATGCAAGGCAAGTGCTCTACCACTGAGCCACCTTCCCAGCCCATGTAAATAATTTTTATGTGGTGCTGACGATGGCAGAGTCTAATTCTAAGCACCTACCACAGCTGCCCCGTTCGAGTCTCACAATGGTTCTTCAAGGCAGGTGTGCTTAATTCAGAAAGTAAGAGCTTACCCAGCCTCAAATGATGGTGACAGGGTTGCTAGGAACGCAGGCAGTGTGGCAGCAGAGTAGACATCATTCGATGTGCTTCCTTTTCTTCTCAGCACACAAAAAAACAAATACAATATTCCATGATAGGTGTCATGTGTAGAGGCAATCTTCTCCTTTGTTTCCAACAGCAATCCGGAGATGTTTAAACTCTCTTCACTGGATGTTACCCATGTTGCCTTGGTGAATAAAGTCTGGAGTTACAGTGGCAATGAGAGGAGCCAGAGGTTCATCGAGGGATGTATTCGGACCTTTCCCAACTTCTGTCTGCTAGGGCCTGAGGGGAGCCCAGTGGCCTGGTCCCTGATGGACCACGCTGGGGAACTGCGAATGGGAGGCACCGCACCCGAATACCGGCGCCAAGGACTCATGTCTTATATCGTCCATGCTCAGTCGCAAGCTCTAGGGAAACTGGGCTATCCCACGTATGCCCATGACGATAAAGCCAACCACATTATGCAGAAAGTGGCGAGCACCGTACATGACTTCCCCATGTCCAGTTACTGGAACCAGTGGAATTCGGTGCCTTTGTAAAGCTGGTCCTGAGTGTAGTCAGTGATGGAGGATGAGGGAGGGGTGGGTGGCCGTGCATGTGGCTGGAGAGATGGATGGGTTATCAGCAGATCCTGAGCCTCAGGGAGAAGAACAGAAACCTGGGACCCTGCCCTCAACTAGCTCATATCGTCTTTCTGTTATTTCCTTTATGGTTCCTGTTCACAGGGGAGTACAACTCTCACATTCTCAGGATCCTTATCATGCTTTTAAATCAGATGCATCTCTTTCTGGTGTCTATTTCTTCCAGTATCTTTCTTTTCAGTCTCAGTCTGGAGCCATGAAGAGTTTTTTTTTTTTTTTTTTTTTTTTGCTTGAGGCCAGTAGAACTTCCTGTGACTGAACACTACTGCCTTAGTACCATTGCTAATAAGCCCATCTCAGGCCACATGAAATTGCAGCTACTTAGGAGATGGCGATCAGAGGCTGGTCCCAGGCAATAGCACAAGATCTTATTTGAAAAACAACCAACACAAAGTGTCTTGGGAATGACTCAAGTGGTAGGGTACCTGTCTAGCAAGTATAAGGCTCTGAGTTCAAACCCATGTGCTGACAAGAATAAATACATAAGTAAATAAATAACACATAGTATGTACCAGCTACTCTTTTGTTCTCTGTTCTCCTCCTCCTCTTCCTCCTCCTCCTCCTCCTCCTTCTCTTCCTCTTCCTATTCCTTTCTTTTTTTTCTCTTCTTCCTCCTCCTCCTCCTTTTACTAATTTGCTTATATTATTTGATTTAATTCCTACACATACCTGACTGGGCACCTATTATTATTTCCATTTTAGAATTGACAACATTGGGCCTGAGAGACTTTTAGTACTTCCTTTGATTCACAGAACTAGTGAAAATTCCCAGCTCCACACCTACTTCACAGTTCACAAACGTTCCCATTGTCCATTATGTGATTTATCTAGTATGATAACTTGGCACTTCTTTTCATTGCGAATGCATGCACCAACGTACCCTCTACATGCATGCATTACCCTGCATCTGTCACTAACGTAGTGAGGTTATTTCATATCTGATTGCGGTTGCTAAAGATAACTGACATATCATTGATGGTTACAATATTGAAAGTAATCACAGAATTAGGTAATCATAATGGCATCCTTGATTAAATTTCACGGCTGGATCCTATCACTTAATGAGTCACTGTTTCTCACCTGGATAACTGTACTTCAATAAAATTTTATTTTCTCTACATGACATAGTTATCACCAGTCTGTATAAAAGTTTCCAAAGTTATGGTTTACATGAAGAAGAGTGCCTCAGTATGAGATTTGTGCCCAGCATTTAATTTTGAAGAGAAAGTTTCAGGGAGGAAAACACTTAGCAATAACAGAAAGTGACAGAAAAGACCCCAGAAAAGGCTTGTTCTCCAAGCAATTTAGAAGCTACAATTACTAGTTTGCACTTCATTAGCACGGTGTGGAGATTTAGCTTGACATGATTGCAGCCATGACAGGGTCATAACTTTTATGATTACCCCCAGCCAGCACCCCTGATCTGTGTTCCCACGCAATTTATTACCATACTAGAAAGAGATGAAACTGTAGTGTGTGAAGCTGGGCACCCGGAATATGCCTGACTCTCAGTAGCTTAAGATCAACTAAGTACATTCGTGGATGAAGTCACTTCCTAACCAATATTGATGTTCCTGAACAGCAGCTTAATTCTTTGTCATGTTAAAATCGTATCATTCCCTCTCAACATTTTGTATATCACTTCCTTCACTTCTAATGGATGTCTAACTTCTGAGGATGTCTTAGGTTTCAGTCCCTTTGCAGGTGAGAGTCAACTCAGATGACTTGAGCATAGTTCTAGCCTTGAAAACAAGTTGTTTTTTCTATGGGGAAAAACAGGTGTCACCAACACAGACATCTTCTGTATATGCGGGTCTTTCTTTGGAAAGCACTGTTACTCTTCAGTTGAGCCTCTTTTCTCCATCTACCTTAACGTTTTTCATGCATCCTTCACACATTCTTCAGACAGAAGCCTCAGTTCGTTGATTGAAAAGCCAATCTCAAAGGAAACAAGAGTGATCCGATGGAGCTGCTCTATTTTCTGTCCATTGCTCTAGGAGATAAGGAGGTGTCATTTAGACAGACCTACAAGTCTAATGATGAATCCTCGGACTCAAGATCAAGCTGTTGGTAGGGTGAAGACTCAAATATCTTCCTCCCCTGGTTAAAATCTATCTCACTGGCATTCTAACCCTGATCACTGACATCTTCTCTGAGGTCTGAATCCTGCTGGCCACCTTGCCCAGCTGGAAGACTTGGGTGCCAACCTCCTTCCGAGTCTATTTTCTTCTATTTGTTCACATACCCGCTTCGCTTGGCTAATTCTCCACACTCCTTCTGGAGCGACCTGGTTCAGAAGTCTTTATGATGATTCCGATGCGAACAACAGAGAGACTCCCCGTACTGCACAGTGTCATGGACCAGCGGTATGCCATATTACCGAGGCAGGACATAACTCTTTGAGGACTATTCCCCTGCTCTCTGCCACACACCTGCAGAAAAGGACACCATAATCGAGAGTGAAGTAAGGAAGAGAGTAGATCGCAGATTTCTGCTATGTCCTACTTCAAGAAGAAAGACAGCCCCTTTGGCTTCCATTGGAAACCATTTTCTGAGGAATCTGTCAGAAAACGTTTGCACCTCATATATCTGGTGATGGGTTAATATTCAGAATATATATATGACCCCAACTATTGAGTGACAAAAATCTAACACCTTGATTTTAAAATGGGCAATACAATTGAATAGGCATTCTTCCAAAAACAAGAAAAACAAGTGACCAAAAAGCTCATAAAAAGATGCTCAAGGGAGAGAGCGAGGAAAGAGGTAACACTGTCCAAAAAGAAATGTACTCTTGCTGGAAACCGGTGGTTCACACCTGTAATCCTAGCTACTCAGGAGGCTGAGGTCTGAGGATCACAGTTTGAAACAAGCCTGGGCAGGAAGCTCCACGAGACTCTTATGTCCAATTAATCACAGAAAAAGGCTCAAGTGGTAGGGTGCTACCCTTGACCAAAATGAGCTCAAGGACAGTGCTCAGACCCTGAGTTCAAACCCCAAGACTTACAAAAGAAAAAAAGAAAACAATATGTATACTTTTTACCATACAAAAGTGTACCCCCCCCAGTACATCACCTCTATAAAAACAATAAAAAAGAAAAAAGAGATGTTCAATATCCCTAATCATTAAGGAAAAACCACAGTCAGGCGTTATTTCATACTCATCAGTATAGACTCTATCAGAAAAAATAGAAACTGGAAGTGGTGCTGTGGCTCAAGCTGTAGAGTCCTTGCTTTGAGCTGAAGAGCTGAAGGTCAGCGTTCAGGCCCAGAGTTCAAGCCCCATGACCGACCAAAAAAAAAGAAAAAATAGAAATTGACCAGTATTGCTGAGAATATACAGAAACTGGATTCATTGTGTACTACACAGAAATGAAAAATGTTTTAGCCAATATGGATAACAGTACAGAATTACAAAAACAAAACAAAACAAAAAAAACAAAAATCAAATAAAACAATACCAGCATGAGCCCCCCCCCCAAATAAGGCAAGTATGGTGGCACATGCCTATAACCCCACTAACTCAAAAGGCAAAGGCAGAAGGTCAGAAGTTCAAGGGCATCCTGGGCAAATTTAGGATGCTCTTACGTCCTAAAAAAAAGACACAAAGGGCTGGAGGCATGACTTAAGTAATAAATGTGGACCATCATTCGAGAGGCTCTAGATTCAATCCTCAGTATGCCAAACAATAATAATAATAATCTTTAAAATATTACTAGCATATGATCTGGGTGTGTAACACAAAGAACTGGTAAAAGGTCTCAGTGTGATGTTTGTATGTACTTGTTCATGGAGGCACTACTCATAATAGCTTCTAACTCAATCCCACCTGCTCTGTTACTACTGGAGCCATAATAATGATGGTTGGCATTTATAGAGAGCTTTCCATGTGCTGAATGCAATTAATTAATTGCATTATCTCAATGCCTATAACAAGAAGTACTGTTGTGTTCCATGTTTTATAGACCAGGAAATTGAGACAAAAGGAGTTTTAAGTAAGCTGCCTAAGGGCTTCTGGCTAATACCTGGGTGGCCAACCAAGATTAACCCCTGAGGTCCAACTCCAGACGGGGCTTTAAAGAACTGTGTTATTTCTAGAACAATCATGAGCTTAGTCCTGCATGGCAAGGTCACCATTTCCTCCACACACTTCCCTTTACATTCAATAGCTTTCTCCTTCTAGACTGGAAGGAAGTCAAGTTCAACTACAAACGTAACACAATTATTTTTTTTTTAGCCTCAAATCTCCTCACCAACCAGAACATCTTCAGCATGTGTTCTTTAATGTCATGAATCTTTCCCTTTTCTCCAACTTTAATCATCCTACATGTGCAGGCAATGACAGAGCAGTACAAGCTCGTACACTGTGGATGGAATCCCAGTTTGCTACTCACTAATGGGTTTTATATTTTCTCCCAGCTTCAGGATCACTAGCTCTAAAATAAGAACAGTAGAACCTTTCTCCTAATGACAGTAAAGATTTAATTAATAACTTATATGTCTTGTGGTATTTCGCATGTAATAGGGACCATTCACTCTACAATGAGAACTGTCAGACCTTTCTCCTAATGGTAGTAAAGATTTCATTAAGCACTAAATGTCTAATGGAATTTCACACATAACGATGATGATGATGATTCTAATTAAATATTCTTCAACCACTTGAAGCTCTGTCAGGTGAAAATAAAAGAAAGAACTTTTACTGATTCCCCAACTGATTGTAGGACATGAAATCATTGTTGTGACCAGGCTTTACTGCGCAGAATTAGATTTTCTTTGAGATCCTTCTGACTCAAACTGTTCAAGTAGGTGCCATCTGGTCAAATGTGCTAAAATATACAGACTTTAACTTTGGCAGGTCTCAGAACCTCTGTGAGTGTATTCCAACAATTCTACTGCCTTCTCCCTATGTTCTGACACTCTCTGTTTTTTGA